TACAAACTTTATCTCAGCGGCCAAAAGGCGAGAACGGGGTGTACAAACTTTATCTCAGCGGCCAAAAGGCGAGAACGGGGTGTACAAACTTTATCACAGCGGCCAAAAGGCGAGAACGGGGTGTACAAATTATATAATTATATTTTATATAATATAATTTTAACTTGTTTGTAAAAATCTTACAGAGATTTAAAATTAAACGCTCTCAGCTGAGGTGCCACATATGGCCCACGCGCCCCAGGTTTAGACGCTCAGGTCCGAGTTTCTGCTTCCTGTAACGTTTCCTCCCCTTCCGTTCAGACCCGGAGAGCTCCACCGTTTCCTGCGACAACGCCCACAACGACACGCAGCTCAGCGAGCTGCAGCCGCCCGACTCCCCCTCCACCAAGACGCCGCTGGCGCCCGGCGCCGACGGAGGCCGCAAGGCCCGCAAGCACGGACACGGACACTCCCACGGAGGGAACTGCCACTCGGACCAGGAGATGAAGGACGCCGGCATCGCCAGCATCGCCTGGATGGTCATCATGGGAGACGGCATGCACAACTTCAGCGACGGCCTGGCCATCGGTGGGAGACGCAGATGAAACACACAAACGCACAGCTGGCAGATTTTAACACATCAGGACTTTATCCTCGCACTGTTACAACTTTATTTCAGTATTTTTACGACTTGATTCTCGTACAACTACTTTGACTTTTTTCTTGTAATATTACAACTTTTTCTCATATTAAGACTTTTTCCACACATTATTTTGACTTTATTCTCATTTTAAGTTTATTTAATATCTTTTTACACCAAGACTTTGTCGTCCTTTTATGACTTCGTACAACTATTTTATCGCAATATTATGACTTTTTTCACATATCATTATGACTTTTCTTTTTTCTCCTCATATTACGACTTACTTTTTGTACTATTATTTTGTCACAATATTTTGACTTTTATTCTCATAATACAATTTTCTAACTTTTTTTGCGTGTTATTGTGACTTTTCTCATATTAAGGTACCGACAGTGGCTTGTTTTTTTGAGTTTGAAAACACTTTAAACAGCAGCAAAGACATGATGTTTTAATGGAAATAACAGATTAGTGACTCTGTACATTGAATGAAATGATAAAAATTTAATTTTTTTGTTGGTTTTGGTGACTTTTATGTGGAGTTTGACTGAAACTTGTGTTTTGTGGTGCAGGCGCGGCGTTCAGCTCCAATATCACGGGAGGCATCAGCACGTCTGTGGCTGTCTTCTGCCATGAACTACCTCATGAACTCGGTGAGTTCAAAGTAATCAGAAATGATCGATGAGATATTACTGCTGGGAGATCAATCGATTTCATCCACATATCAGATTTCTGGTTGTTGATTTAATTATTGGAAAATCTGGATTTTGTCCCACCAAGAACTGCTTGGGTTTCCAAAGCTGAAAGTGATGTCAGCTCCAGGGCGGCCATCTTGTTTGACACGAGTGTTTTGCAGCTTCTAATAAAGACAAAATATTACAAAAAAAAGTGTCAATATTGAAACAAAAAGTCATACAGGAAATGTAATTTTACGAGAATAAGTCGTACAGCAGTAATTCAAAATAATGTGAAAATAAAGTTGTTCAACAATAAGTCAAACTGATGTGTGTTTCTCGTCGCCTTTACCTGTTTTTAACCAGTAAATATGATCTGGACGCCGTAGAAACGTGTTGCGCTTCCAGAATTCGCTCTTCGGTTTCCTTTAGAGGCTCATCAGACAGATCGCTTCGAGAGCGGCTCGTCTTCCCACATCTGGGCGGAAAACTCCGTCACAGCGCTGAGGGCTCTTCAGCCGCACACGGAGAAACTAATTGGCGGTGATGGGTGTGTTAATTGCGGTAGACGATGCGGCGGCGGCATCTGAGGCAGGAGGAAGTGGAAGTGAGGAAGAGCGCGGGCCGGCGCTCTTCCTCCTGATTGATGAATGAGAGCAGAGCGATAATGTATTCATCGCGGTAATTAGTGAGGAAAAGAGGATGCTGTTACAGGAAATGTAGGCCAACCCCCACCTCCAAATCCAGGGCGTTTCCACGGAAACTCGGCCGCTTCTCGCGTTTGGCCCGGCGATGATTGAAGAGGCTAGACGCTGCGGCGGCGCGCATCACACAGCATAACGGAGGAAAACTCAGACGGATCCAAAAATACCAGAACCTGCCTGGTTTTAGTGATTTTTGCTGCCTAAAATCACCTTTAAAGTTTCATTTTTGCTTTAAAAAGGTTGAAATTGTTGCATAAAACCTTCCCAAAAAATCTAGGATTTAACATAATTCATATTTAAAGTGGAAATAATATTTTCTAAGTCACTTCTTGATGTAGCTGATATAAATCAGATCCTGAGATGTTGAGTGCCAAAGATTAACTCCATATTGGTCATTCATGTTAGCATAGGGCTGAACAAGATGGCTGAAAAACTTAAAACAACATAAACACTTCATATCAGTTGATGTCAATAATTACTGATTAATTTTTTGTTTTAAAGATCTGAAATTCTGCCAAACTGAAAACGGTTTTATCCAGCTTTTACTCCACTAAGCTGTGTTTTTTTATTTTTAAGCTGCTGTAAGGCATGCTGGGGAAACTTTAACCTGCTGCTGGCCGGCCAACTTACCAGCAGGCTGTTGCTAGGCAACCAGAGAGCGAGTTGATTCCGCCCACTTAGCTTAGCTAGCCGAGAGGTTGGGTTTCCTCTGCCCACATCTCCCAGGATGCCTTGCGGTTCTGGATCTGAACTCATTGAAATGACTGAATATTTTATCAGATGTATTATCTATTGATATTGATCAGCTATTGATCATAATATATATTTTTATTGATTTATTGTCCAACACTAAGTTGGCATGAACTGTTTTCGCAGTATAAGTAAATCCCACCAGGAAGCTGCTGTGTTGCAATTGCAACTATTGGTGCTAGGTCACTCATTTGCTAATTTTCCTTAGACTTGCAATTTTCACAAGTCAATGAAACTTTTCCTCTAGTCTAATCTAATTTAATCTAATCTTCCAAAGTGATATAATATCACACAAGTACAAAAGAGGATTAGGGCCACTGAAAGAAATGAAAGACAAATTTGGACTCCAGTCTCAGAATTCTGAGATTTTCTTAAATTTCTGGCTTTTTTCCTCATAATTCAGACATTTTCTCAACATGTCTGAAAAGTTTAGCCTGATTTAACTTCAGACAGCAAGGAAAAAATGTTTGCTTTTATTTGGTCTCTATAAATATCTGGTTTCAACCGTGTATAAATGTTCATAGAAAGTTACGTATTTTCAGCTGTGACTGGTAGTTTGACTGGTAGTTTGTCTGGTAGTTTGACTGGTAGTTTGTCTGGTAGTTTGACCGGCTGTTTGTGGTTCCAGGGGACTTTGCGGTCCTGCTGAAGGCCGGCATGTCGGTGAAGCAGGCCATCGTCTACAACCTGCTGTCCGCCCTCATGGCGTACGTCGGCATGCTGATCGGCACTGCCGTGGGCCAGTACACGCACAACGTCACCAACTGGATCTTCGCCATCACCGCCGGCATGTTCCTCTATGTGGCACTGGTGGACATGGTAAGGCCACTCTGACCTCTGACCTCTAACCAGGGTTATTATAGTTCTGGGTTTTGCATTAGAGTTTAGTTTTATTTATTTATTTTGATTGTCTAATTTAGTTTGTTTTAATAAGTGTTTTGAGTGTGTTTGCTAGTTTTTATTAATTATTAGTTAAATATTACTTTGTTTCAGTTTAGTTTTTTAGCTATTAGTTAAATATTGAGTCATAAACACAAAAATGAAGGATATTATATCTATGATTTTAGTATGTTTTTAGTTTGATAAAGGCACATTATAGTTTGTTAGTTATAGTTTTATTTATCTCAGTTATTAAAAATTATTTCTCTATTTTAGTTTTCATTATTTCATTAGTTAATTATAATAACCCTGGAGAGGAGCCGTCATGCAGAACTGATCAGCTAATCAGATGCTGAGTTAGAGTATCTGATTGGTTGATTAGAGTAGCAGAATGTAGCTACATGCTGCTACATGATGCTACGTGTTGCTACATGCTGCATGATGCTACGTGTTGCTACATGATGCTACATGTAGCTACATGCTGCATGATGCTACGTGTTGCTACATGTTGCTACATGATGTATAAAATGGATGCCATCTTTCTGACGGTTGGTGTCGTCCCTAGCTGCCGGAGATGCTGCACGGCGACAGCGAGGAGCACAAGCGCTGCCACCTGGGCCACTTCGTCCTGCAGAATGTCGGCATGCTGACCGGCTTCGCCATCATGCTGCTAATCGCCATCTTTGAGGACCGCATTGTGTTCGACTTCGGCTTCTAGCGGCCGGACGCCGTCCTGCATGCGCTCCGTTGTTCTGCGCGTCGCGTCGTGCTGCTAGCGATGTTTACGAAGCACAACGCCCATCCGTGTCATCGTTTTGTCCTTTGTCGAGTCCCACCTGCTGATGTCATCACGCCGCGTCTTGACAGGAACAGAAGCAGTCCTTCGCACAATATGTCGTGTTTTTGTGTCGTCTGGGTTCGTAGGGAACCTGGATCGGTAGAGTAGCCGCCAAACAGGGCTGGGTGATAAATCCAATTCATCCGAGTTGGATTCTTGGTTTATGAAGAGTTGTTTTTTTTTTTTTTGTTTGTTTTTTTTTTGAAAATCTGAATTTTTGTTTGTTTTTTCACCAATACATCCTTTGTTTCCAGAGTTCAGCGGACATTTTGATTCAAAAGCATTTTTTACAGCTTCTGTTTATTTGGAATTCAGGTCAACGCTACAAAGAAATATAACGGCCAGACCACGATTTTATTTTCAAATTATGAAAACAAATATGTACGACAATAGTTAAATAATACAATAAAGACGCAATATTACAAGAATAAACATCTTGTGAAGTTATACTTTTGTACCAGTAAAAGAAATACTTCATTTTTTAACTCATCAGCATCAAATTATCATCAGTAGCAGGACTTTGAAACAATCGTGCAACTGAGTTTATTTCAAATAAAGGACAAAATGAACTTGATAACGTTAAAAGTTTTTCTGGAAATTTTAAGACGTTTTTCTGGTAAAATTGCGTCTATCTGCTAGTATAACTTTATTTTCAAATCCCGGCCGTGCAAAAGAAATCTGTTGAACTTGGAACTGGTATGAAGAAATAGTCGCGTTTATTTTGGTGTTGTCGCCCAGCCCTGCTGCCGAAGCCTGTTAGCTTTAGCATGTCCAGCTGTCCGCCATGTTTCTGAATTGATCCAATGATCTGGAGCCAAACTGCAACGATTTTCGCGTCAGACATTCATGTTTTAATGAGAACTACGAAGCTACATAAGAGCCATAAAGTTTGCACCAAAAAAATAAAAATAAAAAATAGAAGTCGAAAAGAAGATATTAAGAAATTATTTTGAAATTAATTTTGAATCAGAAAAATTAAACAAATAAAGCTAAAAATAGATTTGAAATAAAAAATAAATTTTGAAACCAGAAACAAGATTTGAAAATGGAAAAAAAAGAAAACTAAAAAATAGATTTAAAACGGAAAAATTAGTTTTGAAACAGAAAAAAGATTTGAAGTTAAAAAAAAATTAAAACATAAAATAATTCAAACTAAAGAACAATTTTGAAATCGGAAAATAAGAAATATTTATCAGATTAAACTTATTTTTTTTTTTTTTTTCAGCTAAAATAAAAAAAAAATTGGTCAAACTTTATGGCACCAGTTTATCTCCATAGAGAACCAACCTGAAGCTGTGAACTTGTCTCTGCTGTGGTTTATTTCTGGTTCCGATCTATGCAGATTTTCTGCGATTCTTTTGGACGCTGAAGCCGCTAAGAAACGTTTTGGTCATTCCAGGCTCTTCTGTTGGAGAGCTTCGCCGACCGGCGCCGCCATCTTCATCACATTCCACTAGTGCATAAGCTAACGCGGCGTACTTGACTGTATCCTGTCACTTTGTGACATCACTGTCTGGTCCCACCCGGCGGCGAATCATCCTCATGTTGTTTGAATCATGGAGCGTGAGATGCTAAGAGGTCTAACTGGACTCATCATGTGAAGGCATTTTTTAATTTCATCAAACGTTCACGTAGTTTAAGCAACGGCCTTTTCATCCCTTCATCAGTTTTTCTTCTAAGTAATGAATTTACAGTGGCTCTCAAATCAACACAACTCATTTAAAATATCAGATTAATGATTTTTATGTGACTAATTGCACAATTCAACTAAACAGAAAAACATCATACACACAAGTGAACACGGTGGTGGCAGCATCATGCTGTGTGGTTGCTTTTCTACAGATGGAACTGGATATTAAAACCCAGAGGGAGTTTGTTTCTCAGCCTCCTACTGATAAACAAAATGTGGATTTAAAAAGGATTTTTTTTTTCAAGATGGTTCTGGATAAAAACTCAAGAAATGTTGAAAATTTTAGGTAAATTTGATCATGATATATATTATATATAATAATTTTATATATATATATATATATATATATATATATATAAAAGTCAAACAGAGAGAATTATTTCAGTTTAGGGTTGGGAATTCTCCCCCTTTTTTTACATCAAAGTGTAAACAAACTAAAAAAGGGTGTGTAACATTTGAAAGCCACTGTACAGCTGAATGAAAATATGAAACAGACTTTTCTCCATAACTTAAGAAACCCATTGCTGCCATGAAAAACATAAATACTCAGTGATGATGAGTTTTAAAGTCTTAAATATGAGAATAAGTCAAAATTACAACTTTATTTCAAAATTGTTTCAGAAAGTCGAAAGTATGACTTTTAAAGTTGAAATTGACTTTTTATCTCAAAATGTTGACTTAAAATCTCAAAATTGACTTTGAAAGCCAAAATTATGACTTTTTCTCTAACTGACTTTAAATCTCAGGAATCATGAATTTGAAAGTTGAAATTCTGAATTTTTATATCAAACTTATGACCTCCTGTTGGGTTTTTATTTTGTCATTCATGGCCTTCCATAATAAATGCATTAAAATAAAGTTAAATACTTGGGTCCAAAATGGAGGTAAGAAGGAGCGACTGAAGTGACGGTGTGAATTAGTGACCCGGATCCGTTCCAGCAGAACCTGAATGTTTTTACTGTAATCTGGAATCGATTCATTTCGTCTCATTCTGTTGGACAAACATGGACTCCAGGAATCCTCGTTGCTGATTGGCCGTAAGAAGAAAACGCCTTGATCATTATTATTTTTTTATTATGTGTATATTTGTTTTTGTAAAGTATAAAATGTAACATGTCGCTGTTAGCCTGTTGGTTCGTTTTCCTGAAGAAGAATAAAAAGAAAAGAAGATGCTGAATTATGCAGGTTCTGGTTCTGTTTTATGATGTTAAATACAAATCAGTGTTTTTGAAAGACACGCCTTCCTAAAGTATTTACTGCCCTTGAACTTTTTCCAACCACAGACTTTATTTTAAGGGGATTTAATGATCGGCAGAATCGAAAGGAAAATGGTGAATTTTTTTAAAATGTTTTTTTTTTTAAATAAAGATCTAAAAAGTATGGCATGCTTTTTTTATTTGGCTTTTTTTATTCTGATATCACCAAATTAAATATTTAATGCTGCCAGAAGTCACCAGTTGGAAGAAACAAACAGATTCATGAAGACCAAACCTTGTACAAACTTATGAAACAAACTGCGCTGTCGTTTTTAAAAATATCGTACAAACAGGATTGTTTTCAGAAACGTTTTTCTCCACATGAAGCAAATCTGGCCCTCAGTGTTACTGTAAACATGCCAAACCCATAGGGGGCAGTGTAGCGCAGGGCTCTATCATGTTATGTTAAAACTGGCTCACTTATGTTGCTAACGTTGTGTGAAAAAAAAGTAGCCCACTATTATATAAAATATGCCATTTTTTCACATTTCTGTTGTGAAACAAGCCTTAAATTTTATTCAGTAAAGGTTTTAAAAAGTTTTAAATTTGAATTGGTGAAATATTTAGAAACTCTCTGGTCCTCTGGAGAGGTGAGACCAAAACTGTCCTTCTAAATATGAAAAAGTTCAAAGGGTGTGAATAGTCTTAGCTAATGTTCTTGGTGTGAAACATAAAAAAACTTGGGATGTGCCATTATTTTGTAATTTAACAGAAGTCTAGACTCCAGTTTGGTAATGAAATGCCCTAAAATCACCCCTATGTATCATAAAAAGACCAAGAATCTGAGACGTCTTGCAGGAGGAGTCGATGAAAATCCTCCAAATGAGAACAGAAAGAAACTGGGCCTCGTACATTAAACATTAACAAGCTGTGGTGCTGGAATGTTACCGAACCTGAAACTGGTGAAACTTTTGTTCTAAAAACTGAATGAAAGCTGAAAGTATTTTTTAAAATAACTTTTATCATCTTTAAATTCATGGGTTGTGGGATTAAGCTCATATTTAGCTCAACTTACTTTTCACAGAACTTTGGATCAAATCAAACTTTTTCTTTGCCGTTTGCAGTAAAACACAAACCTCTTTGAAAGCAGCTCACATTTAATGACAGTTTGGTGTTAACCTGTACATAGTTTCACGTCTGAACCGGAAGTAATCCGCGCCATCTTAGAGTAGGAAAACATGTCAGACGCCGATTTCCTATTGACTTCCTAGTGAACATGAAAAGTGAGTACAGCATAGAGGAGCTTGCCCTGACGTAAGCAATCACTTTTAAACGGATTCGTAACTTTTCATATGAATAACAAAAGTAACTGGTAAGTACAAGTAGAAACAAACACGTCGGCTACATGTCCGTCTTAGCTAGCACATAAAAGCTAGATTAGCAGCGTTTGGTAGTAATTCATTACGTTTACTTGAGTAACTTTTTAGTAAAAATGTACTTTTCAGAGTATTTTTACTACTCTGTACCTTTTATTTTTACTTGACTAATTTTATTAAGTGTTTCTACTCTTTATAAATTCTCCTTATACAGACCAATTAACTTGGTCAGTTAACCATGCATGTGTGCATGGTTCGTCTCTGTGTGATGTTCAGGGTGACCCCGCCGCTCGCCTGAAATGAGATGGGCAGCCACACCGCTCCGTCTTAGCCAGCAAATAAAAGCTACATTAGCCAACTTAGTTTGGCAGGAAGCACTACAGTAAATATCAGAGATTTATCTCCGTTTTACGCAGAGGTGGGTAGGGAACTCAACAATAGTAATCAAGTATTGTTTACAAGTTAGATAGGAATGAGGTGAGCTAGTTCTAAACTTGTTTATTGTCATAGCAACTCCTCAACAACTACTGTACGTTTCTTAGTCTGCTCTGGAGTAAGGGGGAATAAATCATGGAGATCATGGAATAAATCATGTGATGTGAATTCAGGAAACGTCAGCAATTTGATGAACACATCCGTAGGGAGAAGGTATGGGTTTGTTTCTAAGCTAGCTATTTCCAACTAGGTTTGCTACTTCCTCAGAAAATGAGCTTGACTTCAAGTAGATGCCATGGATATATTGACAAAAACAACTTGGGGAAATAATTGCAATACTTCCTTCACTTCGAACGTCATGGCGCCTCAATGTGGATATCTAACACAGTGTTTTTCAACCACTGTTCCGCGGCACACTAGTGTGCCG